ATGGGATGGTCGCCGACAAACATATATATGCACGCGCGCGCAAAGACAAGAACAAATAACTGTAACCGCCAAACGCGGTGGAATAAGGCCGACAAACATACATATGCGCGCGCGCGTAAAAAAAAAGAGGATTCGTTGTGTCAAATTAAGAAAAAAATAGAATAAAAATAAATCGTATACATACAGGTACAGTCGTGGGCCCGGTTTAGCGGTTCCCTGTTTAGCGGGATGCCCTGAATAGCGGTTATAAAACTTCTTGACACGGCTGCACCCCGGTTTAGCGGTTATACAACCGCTAAAAAATCGGTCGTGCCCTCAATAGCGGTTATTGGACATGTTTGCAGCCACCAATAGCGGTTATCGGTTCAATTTTTGCGGGGGCCTGTTTGTAGTGCGCGCGTCGCTTGCACATACTCACATCACAGCGACTTGGTCAGCCTGTTGGCTGGTCGACGCTCACAAAAAAAAGGACACAGACAGACACACACACATACACCAAACGACGCAGGGCCAGAGAAGAATCGCCGAAAAATAGCTGAAGAAAGTTTTGACGACGATGAGAGTGATGGTGGTGAAAGCAAGGAGGATGATGGTGAAAACACTCCAAAACGAACTCGAGTGGAAGGTGGCAGTTTTCCTCTGTTGCCACCTTCCGTGTCTGCCCTTACTCCGGGGAATAGCTTTTACCTGCCCCATGCCGCCCCCTCACGAGGTCCCAGTTAACGACATATAGAAGTGTATTGTGTTTTCAACCACGCTGAGACTGACGACGACGTCTTTTCATTGGTCAGCCAGTTAGCGCGGTCGATGCTAATAATGAAGACACACACCTGCGGCGCGTGGATGGAGTACTTACTGTGCCAGCTTCTAGATGCGGCACGAGTCCAAGCCGCGCGCATGATTGTAGAGGTTGCGTGGTGGCCACATACACGGCATGTGTGTGGGGAGGTGGAGGTTCCGGATGAGAACGAGATGCAACCGGCGTACAACCAAGAAGGCGCAGAGTTCCCCTAGTTTCTCAAATCCGCCCAAGCGCCAAGAGGTGTTAGGTGGCTTTAGCACCAGGCGCGCGGAAAGAAACAACTCGCGCTGCAGCTACACGACAACAGCCCCACACGCGGCTCTACTTTGGCTAGAATCTCGAGGTTTTGAAGCTTCTTGACCAGAAGGTAGCGCAAGCAGAAATACTGCGAACAGGAAGAGATCACCGAAGCTTTGCGTAAAAGGGCGCGAATGACGAGGTTGTTGAAAGTTGGCCGGTATGTACATGGAGGGGGGCCTAACCCCTCCGACGACGACACAAAGACCTAGAGCTAGGCCTAGATACCACCGCACAATTTGACGGAGCGAAAGGCAGGGGCGTGATGTCGCCGCCACCACACTCGGAGGTATCATCGGATTTTGGCCAGCGTGGAGAGCGCGGAGTCGCGTGGCGTAAACGAAGCAGCACACTATTTCGCAAGGCAAAAATGGCGTTCCTCGCAGCGCACGCCGCTCCTCCAGCGCGCAAGGCAGATACCAGAGAGGTTGCTTTGGGTGAAGAGTGATCGATACGCGACACATGGCAGAAATGAGATGCTCAAGCACGTGGTTGATTGCCATTGCGTTGTCACAATTTTGTCTCATCACCTACTACTTCACTTCGTTAGAGACGCGAACGATGTCCAGTCTTGATGAGGGGCATACAGTCCAGAAGGGAGAATAATCTTCGTGCTTTGGCGAATTTAAATGCATCATTAATGAATGTGCTTGCGGCGTTGTCCTTCATTGGCTCGTTACTTCTTCATCTGCACCTTCGTATGACTGCTGCAATGATACGCATGGCCCTATCAATATCAGCTCTCCACGCTGTTGTTGTAGGGCAAAAATGGGCTTTTTCCCGGTTTAGCGGTTCACGACCGCTATTAAGCCTCCTGGTTTAGCGGATATGGTTTAGCGGCGATGCCCGGAATAGCGGCTATAAAAATTCGTCACACTATGGACCGCTAAACCGGGCCCACGACTGTACTTTCTGACGCTATGAATTCATTGCTAATCTGTCTCAGACTCTTTTCTATGATAGAGATGGATTCGTTGTGTCATATTAAGAATAAAAAATAAAATAAAATAACTGTAACCATTAAACGCGGCGGAATAAGCACACTCCGCGGTGCAGGTGACAGAGGAGGTTTGCCGCTCCTCTCGTTGGCAGGCTAATCCCTGGCGAATCCCTTTGTAGAATGGAAATGGCAGGTAGGGGACTAATACACACGCTGGCGTTATGGTACAACAACGGAGGATGCATGAATGGATGGCTGTGTTCCGACGAAAAAAAGAAAGCCATCAACCATCAAGTTGTCACGTGCGAAATGCGGCCGAACATACTCTCGCGTCGGAAGTTGCAGCGGTGTGGCCCGAACCTTTCGTTGGCAGGCTAAATAGGTAGACACACAGTCATTCCAGTGTCGAACGGACAGTGCATCCTGTTGTAGATTGAACGAAGCTTCAGTTTGATGGTGGGCAGGCAAAGTTTTGACACAAATTCGTCGAGATCGGAGCAATTTGGTGCCGGAAGCACCTGCTGCATGCTCGTGTTTCGTGCTTGAGAAGGCCGATCACCGACACAGCCAAACATTAACGCAGGAGGCGCCAATCAAGCTGAAACTTGCTGAGGGCGTCTAAAGTGGTGCAGGACGGCCGATGATCTGATTCCTCGCGCCTCGGGCGTTCAGGTCCGAAACTTGCGTGGTTGGGAGCTTCGGAGTGAATATGATCATTCATTCAATCATTCATTCAGTCATTCATATTTTTTAACCACCGCTAGAGACCGTAACGGTCTCCTAGAGGAATAAGTCTTGCAAATTTACACATGAGGTTTCTTCTGACGGCTGGCCAAATTCAACTGAACAATCCACCCTCCTCCCCCTCTACGCTAGATGGGCAAAATGACGGTATTTGCTGCAAACACGATGTCGTGTGAAAGGGCTTCCACTGCTTTACATGACAGTCAACATCAAATCGATCAGGAACGAATCCTACCACAAGCTACAACTCTTAAGAAGGTCGCAAGTTCGTAACGCGGGCAAAATACACCACTCGTCTGAACGACAGACGAAGAAACGCGGAACAAACAACACGAACGGCGTCGTAATACGAAACGAAGTCGTAATTCACTGTAACGGGCAGCAAAAGCCCATAACACAAACGGGGAGAACGGACGAAGCCAGCGATTGATGCGAAGCATGGCCAAGCAACATCATGATTCAAATGTGTACGAATTTTAGTCGAAAATTCGAAACCACAAGCCACCAACACTCAACCGCTAGTGAGTGCGTGCAACAGGGTCGGGTAATGTATCTTCCGGAGAGCCTAGAAACGCTAGAAACGTCTATCAACATGCAATGCGTACCCCACCAGTTTTACGCTTGTATTGTACAGTATTACCGTTCGGCACTTCTCGAGGGCATGAGAGGCATTCAATGACGTGTGCAACAGTCTATACCCAAAGGTTCGACAACCTCAGCGAGCTGCTGCTATGGGATACGTTGGACAATTGTTGCACGACGAGACTAAATGTCGCGCACGATAAACAGTCAATATTCGAACACACACAACAACGCACCACCTAAAAAATGAAGGTCCACACACTCGGCATAACTGTAAAGACCGGCTTTTTAGGAGTTTGACTGACGGCCGGGAATTCGTCGGTCGATTTGCTAGAATACCGGAAGTGTTCTTGATTGCTACACTCGTTTAGCCGAGATGCTCTGGAACAAAATCCGACGTCGTGTGTAGACTTGGAAACTCGATACGTTCAAGTGAAAGCACAGGAGGGGCGCAACGAATCAAAAGTCAACGGGATACGAGGTGAGGGCCGATGGATGATTTCTGAATCCTCCCCGAGTTCGTTCCGGAAAATGGGACCGGTGCCTCTTCCGACTGATAGCATTGAAGCGAGTCTACCCGTCGGTCCCGCCCTTGCCCGACATCGCAGTTAAGTCGCCTCGGTTTGCGCATGGATGGGTCCAACACCAGGATCTTCCTCCACAGGAACAACTGGGACTTGTCCTAGGACCTGCGTTGTACCGGCACGCATGCTAGCACCATATTTCCCCGACTGCCTGGCCGACAACATCGCCGTTTCTGTCCTCAGCAACGGCTGCCCCGCGTGCCTGCCAGTGTTGATGGACTTCATGCAGCTGGTGAATCCGAGAGGCAAGGCAATCTGCAAATGGCAGGGAAAAGTATCAACACCAAGGACGCGTGTACACAACCGGGTGAGATGGGTGGCCTGTTGGATCGACTGTGATGTGAATCCGACAACGAGTGTATTTACCCACCGTTCGAAGAGTATCGCTCCTCATGTGTGGGAGGAACCCGAAAGCCGTAATCCTGACGAACACGAATGGCTACAATGTGGACTCGGAAGGCCCCTGGAACTATATGCCAACGGTTCCGGGCACGTGATGGTCGAATCGGGTGTAGGCCCGTACTTCAGATCACGCACGGCGTGAACAGTGCCGCCTGACTTCAAATGCGACAGGGATCAACAGCTTCTCGCCAGCCCTCGTGTTGTCAATAACTTTTGAATATCCGAGAGCGAGGAGGGAGGGCGCCGGGGATTGAATTGAACTCTGGAAGAAATGCGAAGGCTGGAATGCTTCGCGATGTAGAGTACTACAGTAGGGTTCCTCTCCAATGCCTAGGATGGACAGGGGTATGTTGGTCACTTCGCTACAGGGGCAGAACTCCACAGCTACTGATATATTTAAGACTCCACATTGGCCCTTTCAATCATGCCTGTCATGTTTGAACAAAGCAGTGATTGCGGCTTCCTCTTGCGTGCCTTTGGCGATTTGCGAGGGGTTGTCGTAAATCTGCTAGCCTACCCCGCCGGCTTGAATGTTGATAAGGTCTATTTGGGGCACACTATCTTCACAACCAGGTATGTTTGGGCCCAAGCGTTTTTGCTGAGGCAGCTGTGAGCCTTGCAGGCACAGCGGTGGTGTTGCTCGGCCTATCTAGGTCAGATGGTGGCTGTGTCGTAGACAAGAACCGGCGACGCCGGTATGGCAGATGATGCCGCTGATGCAAGAAAAAATGACGAACTCGTTGCCACCACCCACCTCGGTCAGGCACAGGGTCACGCAAATGTTGATCGATGGTGTGATGTGTCCAAGGACAGCCGCCTGCGATATCAAGGTGGCACGGTTGAGTAATGGACCCGCGATGAGTAGGCCACACATCTGAGAACGACGCCGCTCTGCGGACGTGGTTTGGTGAGAAGCAGATGTGAGGGTGGTTGCGCATAGGACAAGTGCGTACAATGTGGGCGACGCAGGTGATACTAGTAGGACCGAAACAATCACCCTGCAGCTACGGTCCCCCAGTCTACTGAACAAGGACGGAGCAGTTAAGGGCCTGTGTAGAGAAGAATTCGAACCTTGTTGGTATCAGAAGGAGTGCTGACGTGGGCGAGAACCACCACGACCGTCGTGATCACGTACGCACAGGCGATGCCGACAGTGCACACTATGTTCCGGACCACCACCCGGCGGTACACCGCCCCGCCGGATTGGGTGCCGCCTTGCGGCAAAAGCATTGGTTTGATGAACATCGCCAGCAAAAGCACGAACTGGCAGAACATTTGAGATCGACACAGTAGGGCCGAAGGCATGAGAGATGGAAGTGAGTAAGGGTGCCGAGCACAAGGAACATGGCCCTGGTGCTTTCGTGCGAGCATACAAATTTCGGTGCTGCGCTTTGTCGCCCCTAGACGTAGGGTGTACCGCCAATGCTGGCGTGCACGAGAGTGATGATAGTAAGCGTTGAACATGAGAACGATGTGCCCTCCAACCCGTGCACATCTCGCCCACGCATCTCCTCTGCCTTGCCCACTCCAAAGGGCTGTAGCTGTGGAGGTTAGGGTTTCCTTGATTGGTGCGTTACATCGAAACGGCCCGACGCTCAACGTGTGCGTTTAGCTCACCTGGACAGTCAACAAGGCATTGTTGCTAGCGAATCCAATCATATCGTCGAGCTCCCCAGTTTCCGTCTCCTCATTAGAGCGATTGAAACACGCCGTCCCCTGACCGAATCAGAGCGGAAACGTGGTAGGTTTCGTCGTATCATCAAGTAGGGCAATGCCTCGAGCGCGAGTTCGAGCAAAGTAGTTGCGCACGACCACGAACGGCGATATGATATGAAGGGCAATATTTTTTTAGAGAAAAATCCGGTTGAGCTTACCTCCGAATTTGTGGCACCAGGAATCGTAAGGCCCACGGCTACTGCCGACGCCGGCCTGTGAAAGAAGCCAGGACAATTTGGAGGTCCAGTCAACGTGCGAGAACAAAACGCCTTCTCGAGAGGTCTCATACGGTGAAAGCACTCCGATGTGGTGACATTCACGATCATCACAACCGTTGCTCCTGGACGGAGTTGTAGGCCACCGCGGGGGGTGCTAAAAGGCCATTTTTTCAAGACATAAACAAGCAGAACAACAACCAAAGGCAACAACCACGTGCCACGAGGAGGCTGCCCGTTCTGGTCATATTTGATGCAGGGTTAATACGATCGCCTGCTTTGTTCTTGGATGTCGGGGATGTTCGTGTGTGTACATATGTAGGAAGGATCTGAGGACGGTTCTGTGTTCCGTAGATGAAGGGACCTCCTGTGGTAGACTTGGATGAGTCTGCAGTGACCCCATGCTTCGTCAGCCTGTGTGGGGCACTCTCTTTTTTCTCTGTCTGTCGTGCGTTTGTCCTGCGGATCTAATACAAGCCATCAACGAGACTTTTTTGTCACTGGACACAAATACGGGCATACCCGGCAAACACTCCGGCTCTAGGAGTGATCAACAGGGGAAACTACCTATATTTCGCGTCCCGGACGACCGCTAGTATCAGGGATACTGTCTGGTAACAAACGGAGAAGCCGGCGGCCTAATGATGTGCCCAATATGAGGGAGAGATCTGGCAATCACTCATCAATTACACTTCTCACAGGAATATCCACGCCCAGAAGTGAGACCACCAGGTGATGCCTTTTTCCCAACAGGTGAGAGTTCGGTTGCCGTTCGTAACGCTTGTCTTTGCGAGGAGAAACAGCACCAGGCACGCCTGGTCGTAGGTGAGACATATTCCACCATACAAGCGTTAGATTTTTGCCTGGCAAACCCATGCTCAGTCCAGTTGGTGAAACGGGATAAGCTCCGCACCACTCCTTGGAAACGCCAAAATTTCGGCTCGATACGCTCATGTTCAGAAGGAAAGCGGATATTCCTGACTGCCAATGTCCCAATCATCGATGCAATCGATGCCTGCATGAAACGCCAAGCGATTTGAGAACTGAAAACCCGCTTACACGGCCAGCTACGGCCTGTAGTGCGCTTACGTCGTATAGTAGGAGTGAAGCGGCCCATGCTGCCTGAGTCACCCGGCAAGAAGTATCCGATATGGGTAGCATGTACTTCGCTACGCCTGTGCACATATTGACGGATGCTGCGATGTGCATGGCCATGAGCCTCCGGTGGAGCGTCCTGCCACGGGTACAGCACCGTTTCGTTCGGACGGCGCAACATTGGAGAAATGGGGACCGTCGGGGATATTGAGTGAATCCGTTATGAGTTAGGACGAGTTGGACGTGTGTACGCGATATGTTTTCAGATGGAAAATGAGACGTTTCCAATCACCACCCGTCGTACAAACCAATGATGATCTGGAATATTTTCTCGTCATGATGATGTCAAAGGGCGAGGCAGAAATGGACATACTTTGTAAAATATTCAGTCAGGTCGAAACTGAGCACATGCGGGTCTTTTTCGTTCGTGAACGGTAGGGAACATCCTCCTTGACCTTTACGCAACCATTTTTGACTACGACAGGTTACTTGAATTCCGCTGGAGAATTGATAGCAACATCTGCGGGAATTTCCATGACTGTTCATGGACGCCCGAACATATGTTGCGTGTCCCTTCGCAGAACACCGCGCGCAGTAGTAGGCTTCAAACATTGTACGTCTGTGCCACGTTTGGTCAAACACCATCGTCGTAACATTTTCAAACGACAAAGGAAGATGGTCGCTTGTGGTTGCCAGGAATAGGTTCACAAACAACTGTCAAGCGGCACGTTTTCTCGGGCAAAGCAAACTCGAGTCATCTAAAAGTTCGAGGCATATGAACTGAATGCTGCGCGTACATCTGTCGGGTATCTCCCATAGGCAAGAAAAACGGTCTGAGAACAGCCGTTCTCTGCATTTTCTTGAACACCATAATAATGCGGTGCATTGCTTCTCCCAGTTGAACATGTAATGGGATATCAGAAAATGATGGTTGCCGGTGTATTTAACGGCGCTTGCTCGTCGTTATCACCAACGAAGAATACCACCTCACAGTCTCTACATAGGACCTGCTCTGACGATTTTCGCCAAGACTTTGTCGTGAAGCAACTGCAGTCACACCCAAAAATCTACATACTCTTTGTTCAGCTTTTGCTTTTTGGACATGAATTGCCAATGAATAGCAACGTCGAAGACAACGGAAGAGTTCCATCGTCAACTGCACTTCACTCGAACACGAGAGTGTCCCGTCGAATCTTGGGGTTGGGATTTTGAACAACCCTACTGGAGGGAATGTTAGCACCTGGGTGAGGGTCGAGTTCAGTCATTCCGTTCGCAGGTTGCTTTTGATGAACCAAGGGGTATGCACGACAACAAATTCTAGATTCACATGGTCAAAAAAAATATGCATATTTGATGTTTTCGTGGGTATTGTCGTGGGGGCATATTGTCGGGGGGTCGCGAGAGTATTTTGGTACGTTGACGCGTTTTCACTGACGCGTGATGCTTCTGGAAAATCCGTAGTAGGTTGATGATAGGGCTTCACGACAACCAAACTATGTACATATATCGCATCGTTGGTGTAGTGGGTAACCTCGAAAACGTACGGACAGCAGGGCAAATTTTTAATGTACCGAGACAGAGCTTTTAGGAGTTCAATTACGCGTGCTAAGCCCGCCAATAAACGCTGAAACCCATTCATCTGCGAGCCAAACGCTTTCAAAATGTTGCGCCTCACTCAATGAATCGATGAAGGAAAGGAGACACCAGAGCAGAGGTGCCGTCACTGGGGCAGCAAAAGAATCGCCGTGCAGATATTCTGCCATGCGGGTTGTCAACAAACCGACGCGTCGGAATGGATGGATGATTGATGGCGACTGTTTTGGGTGGGGTGTTCACTCCAATGAAGAACCTACCGATAGATGGAGTCAAGAGAGCAAAAAAAAAAAACGCGGAGCTGCCAGAGCATCATCATCACGTTACTTGAAGTGTTCTGGCGAGAGGAAGGGCGTGCAGATGATATAAAAGCATGCATGGATCCCTGGGTGGATACTACTGCTGTGCTGCAGTAGCTCGACATAAAATATTCGCGTGTGTGTGCGTGATGCGCGCGTGCGTGTTTGTAGCTCTTCTTCTAGCGGGTGCTGCTGCTGCGTACTCGTCATCGACACTCAGTACTGCGAAACTTCGTGCACAGTGGTCTCTGCTGCTGTTGGCGTCTGGTATGCGTCAGTTGTAGCGCCCAGGCTCCGGCCTGATGTATGCGTGTCGGTCTCTGAACTGGTTGGCTCGAATGCGGTGCGCCCAGAAGAAAAAGCGGCGTAATTGCCCAAATTAGTCGAAAATAGACAAGACGCCAAGTAGGCGCCAAGGACATGGAGACAGCTGATTGGCGGACGCCAAGTTAAATCTGTCCCGGTAGCTTTTTTTGCTGCCGACAGCAGGTGGTGCATTCGACATTCCCTCTTTGGAGTGAAAACTTGACTTCGTGAGTGTATTCAAGTCAACTTGACTGTCGACGAGGGTAAGGGACGGCTGAACCCTTCTCGTAATGAAAACTACTGCAGAGCGTCGGGCAAGCACCCCAGGAGGGAAGGTGGGAGATTGAAATACAACCATTTCTACAAGGCGTCCCGTGTGACCTTCCGCCTGGGTTACCCCGGCTGATACGTCAAACCGACCGGTGTACCGTAGACTCTGGTGCCAGATTGGATGGGACGGAACAAGCACACACGTAGTTCTACACGTATTATCGTACCTGAAAACCTGAATGCATTCTGCGTGTGTCGAAGCGGCGACGACGAAACATGAACATGTCGACGAGGGTATACACAACAGTTTGTTATCCGAAAGTCTAGGTATACAGTACCACATAGTAACTTGAGTGCTTTCTTACATTTGTACAGCTGCGGTACGAAAGTAGGCTGCAGTTCTATGCAAGAAAAGTCGTTCGCCGAACCTGTATGGTGTACCGTGGTCTTCATAGCTACACACCCATACCCGATTCTCCACAGCCCGCAACTCTGCCCCACGCTCTGCCACCTCTGCCGCACGAACCAAGGTGCCCGAAATGGTGGCGTTCACGTTCTCGTCGATAGATTTGTGAAGACGCATCAACCTGCTTCGGCATCCTCGCCGTGGTGGAGGAATCTAGCTGTGAAGATCGGAGAGTGTAGCAGCTCGTGCAACATGCTGTGCAGCTGTGATGTGATGCATATTATTGCCGAGGTAGTGCTGTTGGTCGGACTCTTTCCGTCCGTGAAGAGGGCATATGCTATTGTTGCTACAGATTGCACTCTCTGGTCTACCGCCCAACTCCTGCTCGTAGGGCAGGAGGCACCAACCTTACTCTCGAACTGCCCCCGCCAGTGGGTGCTTGTTGCTGTCGTGGTGAGGTTACTGACAAGGCCTGCGACGGCGACTGGGCTCCTCGTCCTGTGATCGCCTGGGAAGCTCGAGCCAGCCGTGAAGAAGGCGACACCGCGTCGGCCACCAAAACAGCACGCGCAGTGGTGAGGGCCAACCCTAGTACAAAAACCACACCCGCCATCACCGACGTAACTTTCCACCATAAGCCACCATCTGAAAGCCGGGTGCCACCTACAGCAGGTGCAAGTTCGTCACACGTGGAAAATACTGGTATGAAAATACTTGCATTGACACGGTACAGTGAAACCGTCACCTCGGGACGAAAAT